ATGCATTAGTATTTGACAGATCACGTGGGATTTCAGACATGGTGTCAAAGAGAAAGATGCTCAGTATGCTTTGACATTTCATCATGAATAGACTTACTAACGAGCAACGCTTGCAAATCATTGAATTTTATTACCAAAATCAGTGTTCGGTTCGAAATGTGTTTCGCGCTTTACGTCCGATTTATGGTCTACATAATCGACCAAGTGAGCAAACAATTAATGCGATTGTGACCAAGTTTCGCACTCAGTTTACTTTATTGGACATTGAACCAACCACACGAATGCGTACAGTGCGTACAGAAGAGAATATTGCGTCTGTTTCTGAGAGTGTTGCTGAAGACCGTGAAATGTCGATTCGTCGCCGTTCGCAGCAATTGGGTTTGTGTTATTCGACCACATGGAAGATTTTACGCAAAGATCTTGGTGTAAAACCGTATAAAATACAGCTCGTGCAAGAACTGAAGCCGAACGATCTGCCACAACGTCGAATTTTCAGTGAATGGGCCCTAGAAAAGTTGGCAGAAAATCCGCTTTTTTATCGACAAATTTTGTTCAGCGATGAGGCTCATTTCTGGTTGAATGGCTTCGTAAATAAGCAAAATTGCCGCATTTGGAGTGAAGAGCAACCAGAAGCCGTTCAAGAACTGCCCATGCATCCCGAAAAATGCACTGTTTGGTGTGGTTTGTACGCTGGTGGAATCATTGGACCGTATTTTTTCAAAGATGCTGTTGGACGCAACGTTACGGTGAATGGCGATCGCTATCGTTCGATGCTAACAAACTTTTTGTTGCCAAAAATGGAAGAACTGAACTTGGTTGACATGTGGTTTCAACAAGATGGCGCTACATGCCACACAGCTCGCGATTCTATGGCCATTTTGAGGGAAAACTTCGGAGAACAATTCATCTCAAGAAATGGACCGGTAAGTTGGCCACCAAGATCATGCGATTTGACGCCTTTAGACTATTTTTTGTGGGGCTACGTCAAGTCTAAAGTCTACAGAAATAAGCCAGCAACTATTCCAGCTTTGGAAGACAACATTTCCGAAGAAATTCGGGCTATTCCGGCCGAAATGCTCGAAAAAGTTGCCCAAAATTGGACTTTCCGAATGGACCACCTAAGACGCAGCCGCGGTCAACATTTAAATGAAATTATCTTCAAAAAGTAAATGTCATGGACCAATCTAACGTTTTAAATAAAGAACCGATAGATTTTGCAAATTTTATGCGTTTTTTTTTTTAAAAAAAGTTATCAAGCTCTTAAAAAATCACCCGTTACTTACCTGACGCCTCACTACCCATGTTGACAAAACTGTTATTTATAAATAAGAATCAAATGACAAGCGAAATTATTTTATCACCACTTAAAAGAAAAGACATTAATTCGACGAGTGAAAGAAAAGCCAACTTTGCGCTTTTGCTAAAGCTACTACGTTGCATTAAAAGTCAAAATTTCTATGTTACATTGTGGACTGGTTTATAAAGTGTATTGCAAAGTTATTTGTGACAAGGATTAAGGAATTTAGTTTTCATATTTTTGCCGTCGTATTAACACACTGTGTCCTTATGTGCACTGTTCGGAGTCGGCGTAAAACGGAAAAGCTCGGCCAAACACCAACGTATATGTAAGCGCCAATCTATTATACTGCCCAACAAAATTCTGTTGAGTAAAATATTGTAGCCGATCCTTGTAGGATTTCCCCCATAGAATCCGAATCTGACATTGGATTGGTTCTGGTTTTCGAGCAACTTAGGTTTTTAGACATTCAATAGTTCTTATCTGAGCCTGCATAATACTGAAATGGCATGTAATAAATGTGTTCTTAGAGTTTTGAGCATTTTGATTGATCTTAGAAAATTATATTGACCTCAAAAGGGAAGAACTCATCTGCTTACGTGTAATTCCTATGGGAAAACTAAGCCCTCGATGCGCGACCTCTTAGAATCGCCCTAGAGGAGGAAGGTCAATGGATGATCATTACTAAGTAGGAGATCAATTACGAAAATTTGAGTCTTGTTCCGGTCGCATTGCAGGAATTTTTTTCCTTCTAATGTACATACAAATATCGTTAGCTTAGAGAGCAAAGTCTATAAGCCAGAGAGGGAAAAATATTCTTGTTGACATTTTCCTCAAGTATTTCGAAAATCTTTGAATACAACATTTCGCGCGTTTAAAGCAAAGAAAAACTCTATACGAATAAGAAGGATTTGATCTTTATTAAAAGATTTCGTAATACTTTGGTTTTGTCGGCATTTCTTGCTTCCTACAACAAAATATGAGTTTTCATAAAAAGTGGACTTAGCAACTTTTCACGCTAAGCTAGCGATTTACGAGTACATATAATGCCAATAAGCAAACACTCATAAAATCATTTCACATACCAATTTTTTTTTTAATTTTCACCTTTGCAGCATACTAAATTGTTTTTTTTTTTCAGTGGTGTTTGTCCAATGGCTATGTTTACAGTTTATAACGCATGTTGAGCTAGTGACATCGATGTGAGCTACATATTGAAATTGCACAAATAAGTTATATCAAAAGTTTCTCTTGACACACTCGATTTCGTTTAAATGTTCATTACAGCGAAAATTTATAATTGAAATACATACATATGGACTTTTAGTCGGTAAGTATTCAGTCCACACCCACAACTATGACATCGATGTCGTGCTCGCCTATCTCTATGAACTCATTGTACTCGCCTTTGTCTTCTTGCGTTGTAGATTGGACCCCTTAAAATAAAAGGAGAAGCTAATTAAGTACATATTTCAGTATGTATGTATGTATGTATGTATGTATGTATGTACTCAATATATACATAAATATCGATACCTTAATAAACATAGAATGGCCTTATCTAACATTTTTGCTTCTTTACAGAGTAAGTACTTGCTATGAAATATAATAGGGGTATTCTCGATCCGGTGCATACTCTCTAGCATGGAGGATAGATAGCATAAATAGCATGATTGGCTAATTTTGTAGTTGTTTGAACACATGAAACAACAACAATCATGCTATTTATGCTATCTATCCTCCATGCTAGAGAGTATGCACCGGATCGTGACAACCCCTAATGTAAACATTCATTATTTCTCAATGTTTTTAAATTGTTTTAGGTCCTTGAAGAGTAATTCACTGGTTTAGAATGGTGGTAGAATTGCTGAAGAAAATAATTTAAGCCTTTCTATAAGAAGGTACCGATATGTATGTATGTATCTTCAGAAAACATGCTTCCGAAGCAAATTTTTCCACTAATTAGAGCCGGGATACTGTCGGTGGTGCCATCAGAAGTTGGTGCCACAATATAGTGGAGTTTTCAATTTACTCAATCAAGAAAAATGTATTAATTAATGTTTATAACAACAAAACAATGTGTTCCTCTCTCTACTTCATCGTGATCAAAAAAAACTGAATGCAAAAATATTTACACATATATATATATGTATAAGAAACATTGCGTATCGTGTGGCAAAACCAACTGAAATGTTTATAAATAAAGTGTTATAGTGATATCATTACTACCGAAAAATGTTGCCCTGTTGCACGTTGCAAACTGTATTTGATGTTACACTCGCCCCTGTAAGAGGGCATGTTTTTGCCTTCTTGCCCTTGTCCAGCTCACGCATTTCACAATACCTACATACGTTTTAAGCAACCATCTGATTTTCAGGGCAACCATCTTTTCCGGCAAAGTTTCAAAGGGCAGAAAATGTGCCTTTTTGCCTTACAAGAGTGTGACATTTTAAGAAACGAACACCGCCGTTTGCCTTTATTTTGGAATCGAACGTGAAAAGAGAAAGGGGCAATGAAAAGGCGACATTTTTGGTAGAAACGGAAACACAATTGATGAATAAAAAGTTTGAAAACATCTCAAAAATTTACAAGTTCTTAAAAGAGTACGATCTGCTTCAACGTTTCTAATACAGCCCTCATTAACCAGCCAGCCGAAGTTCTCTGTAGCTAGCACTGCTATTTATGGTTCATATATGTATTGTTATTGATATGTAAAATTTTATAAAAAAAAAATCTTAAGTTTAGTCATAAAAGGTTCCATTGAAATCAAGAATAATAGAATACAAGATTGCGCCAATCGAGCTGACAGCAACCGGGCGTGACGTCACCAATTACCAGAATGAGAGAGCAAGACGAACTCGACAAGAAAAAGAGGAAGCATCGAACAAAAGACAGTATTGTCACTGTGAAATGATTTTGTTAAAATTTTTGTAAAGTTGCTTACCACACTTACGATTGCTATAAATTTTGCTTTCATTTTTTTAAGATTTTCAAAATCACCAAACTAAAAAAATTTCGCGTTTTGAATACCCACTAAATTTGGTGCGGAAAGCATCAAGTTGGCAACATTGAATGTAAACAAAAGTATTGTGTGACGTCGGCGAATGGGTGGATGCTGTCAAATCGACGAAGAGAGGGTTAGGGGTCCGCGAATGGCACCACCTTCATTTTCTGCAACGTGCATTGAAATCACTTCAAACGGCGAAAACACAATAATTTTATATATATATACATACATCTAATAATAAGTAACTTTTTTTATGCAACATTATTTTTTTGTCTTTTTTACCGATTTTATCGCGATAAATAGTATTGGTTGTCATTTCAAACAATAACAAATATATACATATGTCGATAGTTTTCCACCTCTATCCTTAATGGCATACCTACGGATGATGTACTGTTGAATTCGGAACTTATGTTTTCTGCAGGCACTGTAGAACTTTCCGCCGCGCTGGTATCCGTGTATTTATAAACAGAGAAATATGTTTGGATGCGCTGAATTATATGCTCCAGAAACGGCGGAAATTTGTGCTCGATGCCGTCGCCATAGATTTTGATGTTGCCTTTGCTATAGCTGGCCACTCGCCGTGGATACGTTTTGGTGCCCCCGACCGCAGCTTTGAGAAATAGGATATTCGGCATATTGGCGTTATTTCCCGCGGATCCCCGCAATATCACTGTACCGTTCGGCGTAAATTCGAAGTAGCCGAAGCTTCCGGGACCACCCCGGCCACCTTCGAAGCGATTAAAACCACCCGATTCATTGACGTGCTTATTTGCTTCAAAATTTTGAAAGATTGTTCTGCTGTATACGAATGGCAACACGCGCGCTTGCGCAATGGTCAAACCAACCAAGAAAAAGGAGACAAATAATAAAATGTCCCAAGCTCCCATTGCACAACCACCTGACTTATTCATATTAAAACTTCACAGATAATTATAGTTATGTATGGCTTTGTGACGCGATCGCTTATTTCAATTTGTACCGCTTTCTTTTGCGTCAATAATGTAACTGATGGGGCATCGCACGTATTAACAGCAATAACCGCTTTTAGTGCCTAAATAACTGCACACGATTGGCATTTACAATTGGCATCGTCTGCATTTTGCAGGTCCATAATTACCAATGCAAGTATTGACGCTTGTAATGCATTGGAAGAATTTTAATTATTGGCGTGGTCGAGCCTCTGAAGGCGG